AGCAGTTGTGTTTGCATGGCTGTGTTTCGGTTTGAAGGGTGGGATATGGCGTGAATTTACAGGGTACAGAGGAATAAGACCTGAGTCCTCAGCAATGGCAACGCATGGGGAGTATCATGGGCGAAACAGTTACACTCTGTTATGTCCATGATACTGCTCATGTCTATAGGCGACGGTTACCACTTTCCATCAGGTGGGCCGTCAGCTTGCTTGCCATTCTAAGTTGTATAAAAAAATGCTGGTAGACCAAATACAGATAAAATAAAAAATAAATCACAGTCTTAAAATGTATATAACCATGCCAATGTGTTATATACATTTTAATAACTTTAATAACGATGCTCGAGCACCTGGTACACGATCAAATTTGTTTATCTTCCACATTCAAACTCCACAATTTCATTAAACAAAGTCGCAAACAATCTAACAATTTTGTCAAACATCCCAAAAATTGTTTACGAAACACGTAAAGTTTGGCAAATTGTTTAATCTATTAACGCCTGCTTTAGGGGATGGCTAAATATTGGAATAATGTTATGTACTTAGATACAATAGGAAATAGAAAAGTAAATTGTTTATAAATAACTACCGACCACTCTTAATTTTTTTTTTCTCTACTTCGTTGGAAAAATAGATATCTCGAAATACATTTCGATTCGTGTTAGAAGCATTTATATATAATCGTCCAATGAATTTTAATCTCACTAATATTAATAATTAAGATTGGATTTCAAACTACTTCCATTCTGACAAAACAATTTATTTTGTACTAAAAGCTAAACTCCTGAACCGATTTCAAAATTATTATGGGAAAATCTGTGTACATCCTTTCAAATAAAAAAAAATACAAATCGATTTATAACTGATGGAGTTATGTGGTATCAAAGATAAAAAATACAAACGAATTGAAAAAAAGAGAAGTTCCTTTTTTTGAAGTCAGTTGAAAATGTAAGTTTGTATAGATGTTTGGATGTTTATTCCTCAATCACTATTAAACGGCTGGACGGAATTGAATAAAAATTGTTACACGGGTAGATTATTTTATTTATTTATTTAACTCTTCATCGCACCAGAAAATTAAAACACAATAACAATTGAACAATTCAAATTAAATACAGTAACATAAATTACAGATTAAAATATATGTATACATACATAAAGGTACAAAAGGCGGTCTTATCTCTAAGGCAATCTCTTACAGACAACCTTTGATTAAAGGAGAACAGATAGAAGTGGGTAGGTGGCGCAAGATAATATTCAAACTTCATACTTAGGATATTTTATACAATGATGTATGGGGGTACAATTATGGGAAATAGTATTGAATAATAATAATAATTTATTTGCCATAAACATACATAATATGATATAACAGTTTGTTTTTTAATTATTCACCATATTTAATAGCATGCAAATGTTTATAGGTTGTATCCATCAAACATAATATTAGCTAGATTTTACCCGCGACTTCGTCCGCGTAACCGGGGTAAAAAGTAACCTATATACCCTTCTCAATTACATATCGTCATAGCCGTAGAATACTGACGGATCTTTATACGTAATATTTCTCAGATCCGTCAGTATTCTACGACTATGACGATATATGCAATATATATGAAATTAGGCATACATGTTCTAGTACATATACTAAATTTCATAATGATTGGTTAAGTAGTTAAGGCGCTATAAGGTAACAAATAAACTCATTATATAAAGACTTACTTTAATATTCTTAATTCTACTATTAAATACTACTACTTAATAGTAAAAAAATATAATAATTATAGTAGAATCAATTATTCCAACTATGAAGATGGGGGGAAAGGATTGTTAGCAATGGAGTTTGACAGCCCCATTGCTAGCAATACACCCTCCTCCACCTCGTCGACTCCACGTAGTTCCCCCTGAAAACCATCGTGAACAATTCTTATTGAATTCGTCACGATGGGCTAACTGACCTGCTTCATCCTCACCTATCATCTCTCACTGGTGCCCCGCCAGTGTACACCGATAGCGCGGGTGGAGTTACCATTCCATTATCACCCATTAAAAAACTATGAAGATGACATACTGCGCCTGTTTTAAAAATGATAATATAATTAGGCGATACCAAGGCCTTTAGTAGGTCTGATAACATTGTAAACAGTTGATTCGAATAGGTAAATAAAACTTCTTTTCCTTTTGTAATTTTCCTAACTCATCACCATATCTTATGGTGACGAAGTAGGAAAACATGTCACTATGTTCCGGTATCATTCCAAGTAAGCATGCGTAATATGTTATACCAGAGGTAGACTTTGTACAAAAGTCGATTGCTTGGGTACCTCTGTCCCATTCGTATTTCAACCGTGAAGCAGTTGTGTTTGCATGGCTGTGTTTCGGTTTGAAGGGTGGGATATGGCGTGAATTTACAGGGTACAAAGGAATAACATCTGAGTCCTCAGGAATGGCAACGCATGGGGTGTATCATGGGCGAAACAGTATACTCTGTAATGTCCATGGTACTGCTCATGTCTATAGGCGACGGTTACCGTCAGCTTGTTTGCCATTCTAAGTAGTATAAAAATATGGATACCGGGGAAAAAGGAATTGTTAGTATTGGAGACTGAGAATCCCCAATATTGCTAGCAATATACTCAACCAGGTCGACCTCTTCGCGGTTCCCCCTAGAAACTATCATGGTTAATTTCTGATTAATTCATCATGATGGGCTAACTGGCCTGTTTCTCTGAACATTGATGGCCAAAAAAGGTCATCAGTCATTTCCATATCGCCTACATATATCGGTCGGATATCTATTTTCGAATATGTTAAAAATTTGTTATCCAATATTATTGTTTCGATAAGAGAATTAAAAAAAAAGCCTGTTTTTTTATGGTTGATAATGGAATGATAACTCCATCCGCGCTATCGGAATACACCAGCGAGGCACCACTGAAGGATGAGAGGTGAGGATGAAGCAGGTCAGTTAGCCTATCGTGACGAATTCAACAAGAATTATTCACGATGGTTTCCAGGGAGAACCGCGTGGAGGTCGACCTAATAGGGCATATTGTTAGCAATGGGGCCGTCAAACTTCATTGCTAACAATCCCTTTCCCCCCCCCCCCCCCAAAAACCCCTGTTAGATACAGCAAGTTACAAATAAAGTAGCTTTAATAGATTTGTAATAATTTTACGTCATTAAACAAGTACTTTATATTTTCAGTATCAATTACTTCGCCTATAGATTTAAGAATAAGCATAATCTCGCAGAATAAAAATTATCAATACGGTTGATAACAAGAACACCCCGTATCCGGGATCAGCGTTCGGAAACGGTTCACTTGCTATATTATATATATATATATATATATATATATATATATATATATATATATATATATATATATATATATATATATATGTTGCTGTTGATCGTATTGCTTTAGTTAATAATAGTCGTACTTTTAACTGAAATTTAAAAGTACTAACAGTTAAAAGTACCTAACCTAATCTAACTGCAAACTTGCGGGGGAAAGGAATTGTTAGTAATGGGATTTTTTTTTTCATGGATGAAAATGGAATAGTAACCCCACCCGCACTATCGGTATACACCGGCGGGGCACCAGTGAAGAATGATAGGTGAGGATGAAGTAGGTCAGTTAGCCCATCGTGACGAATTCAACAAGAATTGTTCACGATCGTTTCCAGGGGGAACCAGGTGGAGGTCGACCTAATAGGGCATATTGCTAACAATGGGGCTGTCAAAGTTCATTGCTAACAATCCCTTTCCCCCAGGATTTTCTTTGGTAGGTAAACCGCATTACTAACAAACCAGGTCGACCTCCACGCGGTTCCCCCTGGAAACCATCTTAATTGTTTTTTTATGAATTCATCACTATGGGCCAACTGATCTGCTTTCATGCTCACTTAACATCTTTCACTGGTGCCCTGCCAGTGTATGCAATTAGCGCCAGCAGGGTTACTATTCCATTTTCATCCATTAAAAAAACCGCAAATTTGCAGTCAAAAGTACTAATAACCAATAATTTTCGGTTAACGTCACTTTTGACCAACCTGTTCAGTCGGGGGGAAAGGAATTGTTAGTAATGGAGACTGAGAATCCCATTGCTAGCAATCAGACCCAATCAGGTCGACCTCCTCGCGGTTCCCCCTGGAAACTATCATGGTTAATTCCTGATGAATTTAACATGATGGGCTAACTGGCCTGTTTTCATCCTCATCTATCACCCTTCACTGGTGCTCCGCCAGCGTATCCCGTTAGCGCAGGCGGGGTTACCATACCATTTTCACCCATCAAAAATATGTAAACCGGGCACTAGTATTAAAGTATGTTTCAATTTTATTTTTTTGTAGATATATATTTTTTGTATTGTATATACCATATATTGTGTATGTGCTTTGACGTTATCCATTTCACATTTACACTTGTGTAAATAACAAAAATATTTTACAACTAGTTTATACACGCGACTTCGTCCGTGATTGGGACATGTTTACTGACCGCTACCTATATTCTTTTCCATCACATATATTGTATGCGTATATAAAATTAATTATAACGATTAATTAAGTCGTTAAAACGACATAATGTAACAAACAAACTCACTTTCACGTTTATAATATTAGTAAGGATATTTGTTGAATTGTGTTTCACAAAAAAAAAAACAATATTTTGTTTTAAAAACTAAAGTTTATAAAATTTCAATTGGAACTAATCTGTACTAATATCCCTTCAGATAAAAAAAAATCCAAATCGATTCACATCTGACGGAGTTATGAGTTAACAAACATAAAAAAACACCAACTAATTGAGAAACTCCTTTTTGAAGTCGGTTAAGAACAACTAAGTACAACTATTAACGTATTAATACACTTCATAAATGCTCGAATAAAAACTGGCGTACTTACGAATGTCAAGGCAATTTATATGAAACTGATAACAATGTAAACATAGTAATCAAAATAAAAAATAATAAAAAAGTTCAATGCCCTCACCGCTTTGTCTAGCAGCCAGCTCGCTGGGAATATGAGCGGAATGTACGTGATCATGTACACCATGGAGGTCCAATACACCACTATGCTCGACACTCCGTAATACTTCACGACCGCATCCTGGATTATACTGTACTGGATCCACTGCAACGAGTTGGACGCGGAGTACAGCACGAAGATAAACAGGACCACCCATCTGACGGGGTACACAGTATACTCAGTGGGCTGCTTCTTGCTGGGAGACTCTAGCGCGCTCCCTTTCTCCGCAATCCCGTCCATCACGCTGCCGCATACTTCCAAATTTTTAGGCTCCGTCATCTTTAATAATTCTCCAATATATTTTATAAAATATTCTCTATTTTAATTATGTAAATAATTTAATCTATAAATATTTATTGTCGTAATTTCTGGAATGTTTATTTGTCATTAACACTTTGGCGCGTGCTTATAGCAATTAAATTGACTATAAGCAAATTTTATTTATTAAAAACAATACTTTTTTTTACGTTTTAGTAAAAGAAAACAAAAATTCATAAATACTTCTAAAGTCCTTAAAATATATTATTGTCAATTTTCCCGCGCGCGCGCGTTTTTTTTTTTTTGCCAAGTTGAGGTAAAGGCGTCAGATTCGCGCGGCCGCCCGCCGTCGACTGTTTTCTGTTTTCCTTCAATCATAGCTGAATGGAGTGTTTCCTGCGCACCCTCCGTCCGCCCGGCGTGACGATAACAATGATAAGCGGCTAGACTAGACTGGCTGACTATATCAATCGCACAATCAAATCATTGAGAACACCGACCGGCACGTTTGTTGTTGCTAGCAGCAAGGTCTCTTGACTCGCAATTTTTTTGTTTCATTACTATTTATTACAATGAACTATTAATAGATTTTTGTTTATTTCGCTAAATTACAAAGCCCGTTGCTTTTTAGATGTTACATAATAAATTAACAATTATAAATCTTCAGAAATTTCAATTGATTTGGTGTATATGAAAATGCTAATGCAGGTTATTTGAAAATTGAAGTTTGAAACACAGTGTATATATATATTATGAATAGACATCAGTTCAGTTTTCAAAGATTATAAAGGTAATCATCTTCCTACCCTTATCCCAATCATTTGGGGTCGGCGTAATATGATTTTAACTATATAATTATAAAATATATATAAAGGTAATAATATTTTAAATTATTAACACAATAACAGAGCTCTATCAAACTTTATCTAGATTTGAGTTATTTGCAGGTTTAACTTTACCAAATAATAGGTGTAAACAATTTTTGGAACACTAATTATGGTAAAAATAACAATTAGTGTAAAAAAAAAAACAAATACTCTTCAAAATAAGAGTAAAAAGGTATCTTCAGGGTCAGTAACGCATGCTTAATACCCGTGGTATGGGGGGAAGGGATTGTTAGTAATGAGATTTAACTGACCCATTGTTAGCAATACACCCTATCAGATCGACCTCCACGCGGTTCCCCCTGGAAACCATCGTGATTAAGTCTAATGGAGTTTATCACGATGGGCTAACTGACCTGCTTTCATCGTCACCTATCATCTCTCACTGGTGCCCCGCCAGCGTATACCGATAGCGCAGGCGGGATTATCCTTACCAACCATTAAAAAAAAATATCCGTGGTATTGCAGACGTCCACAGACTGTGGCAACCGCTTACCAACAGGTAGGCCGTATGCTTGTTTGCTGCTTCAGTGTTATAAACAAAAAGATAACGTAATTATTTAGTACACATTAAAACCTTTAATTCCTTTTATACACTATTATTTCAATAAAAATAATTATAAACTACATAATATATTAAATAACTATATAATACTAATAACAATTACGATATGAATAGATACACACCAATACTTAAATAATGAGTAATAATAATAATAAGAAAATACGTAGCTATCGTGATACAATTATAATGACTGGATAATATTATAACAGATACTTAGACTATTTCTAAAGTGAAAAAAGTGGTTTTTTTTTTATGGGTGAAAATGGAATGGTAACCCCGCCTTCACTAACGGGATACGCTGGCGGAGCACCAGTAAAGGGTGATAGGTGAGAATGAAAACAGGTCAGTTAGCCCATCATGACGAATTCATCAGGAATTAACCATGATAGTTTCCAGGGAGAACTGCGAGGAGGTCGACCTGGTTGGGTATATTGCTAGCAATGGGATTCTCAGTCTCCATTACTAACAATCTTTTTTCCCCCCTGAAAAAAGTGTTGTCCTCCTCTCTCGTACTTGCTGTGTCCAACAGGGTCCATAATTGAAATGTTATCTACTAATTATTGTTGTTGTAATTAATAATATTATTATGGAATGCAATAAGAAATAAATAAATAAACAATAAACAAGTATAGAATAGAATAGAATAGAATAGAATTTTATTGCTAACTGTGTACATACATATAGCAGTAACTATTGCTTTGAATTTGACATCAGTATCAACAGTTATACCCTATCGGGCATGCAACAGTTTAAGAACAGGTAATTATATTAACATCGAAATATTCAATACTATTACCATTACTTGATTACAAATAAATATGAAACATTATACAATACAATTAACAAGACAAAGAATAATCATAACCAAATTAAAATAAAATAAACATAATTTCACATAAATATGAGAGATGAGATTGGGAGAAATATAAAAGCAACTGTCGAGTTTTAAGCGGGCTCTTCTCAACAGATAACAACTTTCTGAACCCTGGAATAGATTAAAAAAGATTTTAAAAGTGCTTGTAAACAAGTATATTTGAATAAAGACGATATACATTTTGAATTTTATGCCGCCTCAGTGGTATAAAAAAAATACCCAGTAATTAAAAAGCCATTAAGTAATCACTTATAATAATATGACTACCTATATTATACCTACAGGAAATTCCGAAGCACTGCCCGTCCAAATATCGTACCGGTATTTTCCTGATTCGCGGTTATTTCGGAAATTCGCCACTTACGAAACATAATGCTCGTGCCTAAGTAAAATTTACCTATAAACCACTGGATATACCCACATTTGCATTCTACATTTTTGTTTCAACCGTGAAGCAGTCGTATTTGCATGGCTGTGTTTTGGTGTGAAGGGTAGGATGTGGCGTGAATTTACATGGTACAGAGGAATAACACCCGAGTCCTCAGGAATGGCAACGCATGGGGGGTGTCATGGGCGAAACAGATACTCTGTTATGTCCATGGTACTGCTCATGTCTATAGGCAACGGTTACCACTTTCCATCAGGTGGGCCGTCAGCTTGTTTGCCATATTGTAAGTTTGCTAAGTTGTATATATAAAAAAAACATTCGCAATTTTGCCGTGCGTTGTGCAATACCAGTTCTAAAGATTATTGGAATGTAACATGCTTGAATTTGAATATTTAAAATTTATACATGACTAGTATTCACCCGTGACCTCGTCCATTGGTCAAGACACTTCGATATATAGAAAAAAATGTAAAATAATCTTTTTAATGTATTCAGTATAAATTATGTACAATAAAGATTTTAGAATACAATACAATAGCCCATATATTATGACAATTTATCTGGTTCTTTCAAATGTAAGAATTTTGAATCCTTTTTATTTTCAATTTAAACTTACGAATTTTAGATTATATAGATAGAGTGTCCCATACAAATGCTTCGAAAAAAAGCGGGTAAACTTTTTCATACAATTATGTGTGGCAAATAGTTATGAGTGATTCCTTTATAAGTTCTATATTTATTTTGTTTTATCAATTCTGCACCTTTTTAATGCGTAAATATCAATTTTATTTATTAAATAATTTATCAAGACATATTGTGTGTGTAAGTATATAGAACATTGATATTGACATTCTACCGAATTTATCATGAGGAATGCTCTGAAGAATTGTTCGAATTAATATCTGCTGCTAATTTTCACCATCGTACAACCCGCCATAAATTAAAGTTTCATCCCAACCAACCGGACGAGAGGCGGTCTTCCACCGTGCGTTTTTAAAAGCACTTTCTTTCACGCACTGGAATCAACTTCCAGCAGCCGTATTTCCGAACCGATACGACATATATTGTGGCATGACACCGATATGACATATATTGTGGGATGACATATATTGTACGCTTATATAGCAGGACATGGAGATACTATTTAACTCATGTAATACCTTAATTTAACCTATGATCCACAATAAAGTCATTTGTATTTATTTGTATTTGTACATCATAACATTTAAGAAAAGAGCATATTCCTTTTTAAAAGGCCGGCAGCACACCTGCAATGCCGCTGGTGTTGTGGGTGATTATGGGCGGCGGTAGTCACTTACCATCAGGTGAGATGCATGCTCGTTTGCCCCCTGTGTTGTAAAATATATATATATATATAAAACGAGTCAGCTAATTTGACAATTAGCTGACAAAAAGTTAATCCGCTTTTGAGACTCGATGCTCTATCTATGTAATCTGAGTTACAAATATATTTCACCCATATACTTAGCAATAAATGTACGTTATTGTAACCCTAATCATGCAGCATGACTAAAAATATTGACCTATTTTCAGTGATGCCTTTTTTTTAAATCTTAAGGATGTATTTCCTTCTTCAGGTATATCAGCCCTATCGTACCCTGAACTGATTTCTCAGATAAGGTTTTATCTACTTTCCTTACTCCCAGAAAGAGAGGAATGATGATGATAATGGGCATCAATAATTTACATACATATATGTACAAAAATTTCTTATTTGTGTTCAGCAAATTTTTTTTTTATACAAATTTTGATTCCACATAACCATGGAATGTATAGGGGTTCAGTTCAACCTGAATAGTTTTATACCAAATACCTTTTCTGTATAACCTAAGTCTGAGCTATTAAAACGTCGGGAAGCAATAAAGAAATAAACATTCAAACTCACTTTGTTACTTGTAAGTCTATATTAGTAAGAATTGATATGAAAATTTTGCCTTTAGTCAAAACTGAAGTTAAAAGCAAACCTCAAGGACGTTAAATTAGAGAATAACTAGAAGGCGTTCTAAATTCAAATTATTTCATCTGCTCGTAATTTTTAAGCAAGTTCTAAATAAAGGAGATTTATATTTTGTATTGTATGTTTTTTGTGACCCTCTTGGTCACTATATTAGATGATTATATACATTGTGACGATTGAAAGTGTTTTTTTGACCGAGTCGGAATCAATAGTCAACTACAATACTACAAGCAACTACAAGTCGCATAAGATTAAGCGTTCGAAATTCAAATAAAAATAAATTAAATATTTGTTTTTTTTTTTTATTGGTAATCTCTGTTTTAGTCGTTTGCAATACAAACTATCACTAATACTTCCTTACCGTTTCCTTTTTAATAACCCATTTTGTTTTCCGTTTATTAGTGACATAATGAGCAATACTAACTCTTTGCCAATTTAAAAAAATATGACTAAAAGAAAGTACTAAACCAAACTCGCGTCACTTCGAACAAAAAATGTGTTTATGTTAAATCTATAACCACTGTATTTACTTTTCAATTTTACACTATAAAGTAGCTAGAATTTTCAATTACATCAATTTATATATACAGATATTTTGAACAGAGGAACATCATAAATAATTGTACTATATTATAAATATTTATTTCTTTTCTATTGTACTGATGTTGAAAATTGGTTGCA